GAATGGTTGTGGACATCCAAAATCTTGTTGAAAAAGACCCTTAGCCAAGAATTGTGTGTCTTTCTAGGTTATCACTCATATGTAAAAGAGTGATAAAGTTTTCAGATAAACAAAAACAGCTAAATGCATTCATTGCTTCTAAACTAGATCTGTGAGAAACACTAAATAGCCTTCTAATAAAACACAACAAAACCCCATCTGGATTAATAAAAATCATAAAACAGGGGAAAAAAGGAGAGTAATAAGATCTTCCCAAATAAACTTGAGAATCACTTGCTTTATTTTTAGGAGGGACTGTGCTCAGCGTTTCCTTCTGACTCTGTGCTCTGTGCTCAGGGATCACTCTCAAGAGGCTCAGGGAACCAGGTGCAACCAAGCACCTTATCTGCTTTACTATCTCTCTGACCAAGACTTACTTGCTTTACATTTTAAAGGTGAAACAACATTAAAACTTTAGATGCAGTACTATATGTTAATAAAGAATCTAAACACATTTAGATGTAATGACAAAAATAAAACAAATACCACTATAATGTATATGGAACCATGAACCCATCAAAGACTAGCTTCATATGGGACACACATGCATCTAATCTATTTTGATGGTTTCTGCAGATGAACAGAACAGAAAGTATTGGAGGTTGTTTCAATAAAAGGTGTTGGAAAATAGGAGGCAATTATGTGCTTCAGGCTGGGCAGGCAATGAGGCTTGTTAGGTGCTGAATTTCTAGGTTCACGGACTTGGTGCTGGTCGGCTAGTAGAAAGAGATTGAAAACCACTGGTCTACCACCTTAGTTACAGCTGCCTGTCCATGGACCAGAATGCAGAACAGGTGCAGGCCTGCAGGTGTGAAGGGATTGAGTGCTGTTCTAGGTAGAAATAATGAGGAGAGCTTCCATGATCCTGCCATGGTGTATCTACCATTCAAATCAATGGGGAATTTACATAGTAAATAACAAATTGCTAAGAAAGTCTTTAAAAAGTACTCCACTTAAAATGATGACTCATTATTATATAAATTTGCCCAAGACCACAGTGCCTAAAAGAGGGGAAAGGAGGGAGAGAGGGAGAGAGGGAGTGTGGAGAAGTATGTTCCATAGAGGCAGGCTTGGGGTGCAAAAGGGAAACCGGGTGTATTAGTGGCAGCAAATGTACACTGGTGAAGGGATGGGTTTTGAAACATTGTATGACTGAAATCCAATTATGAACAACTTTGTAACTGTATATATCACAGTGATTTAATAAAAATAAAAGAATCACATCAATGATAAAGAGCCTGTAATTAACTGATTTAAGTAAGGCAAGATGTGTCAATTTGCATGAGCTACAATTAGGTTATGTTAGAGGGACACAAACATAGACCCATTGACAATGGTTCCTCAAACACTTTATCAGAGCACAATGGTTATTTTAAACACAATAAACAGAGACACAGCATGTTGAAACCAGCTTTAAAAACTGATTAGAATATTCACAGTATTACCATCTTTTTGAGTATGACACGAATGATATCACTGTAGCCAAAGAAAAAGCAATGCTCCTGTATAATTTCATCCTCTCAGAGTTAATCAGGAAAGTTCACAGATTAGAGATCCAGTGCACAGACCCCACAGAAAGATCACACCAAATGGATAACCAAGATTCTGGAATATATAGAGAGAATCTATTATCTATCTTGGGTATCTCTGTAAAGAGACTTTAGGCTTGATTTCCTCTTAAGGTAGCTGTCTCAGTGTTAGCTGACTTAAACTCACGTGGTGAAACACAGAACATCTTTCTGCCTCCACCTCTCCAGTGGAAGTACTAAAAATCAAAACAAATACTAAAAAATTGACTAGATTTTTGTTCTCTAATTAGATAGAGACCTATAAATTGACATAAACATCTGGGTGGTTAGCAACAGGGAACCATTGATAAGATAACCATCACCAGGCTGGAGCCATAGAACAGTAAGTAGTCGTTTGCCTTGTACATTGCCAATGTGGATTCAATCCCTGGCATCCCATATGATCCCATGTACTGCCTGGAATAATACCTGAGTGCAGAACCAGGAGGAATCCCTGAGCATCACAAAAAGCAAAAAAAAAAAAAAAAACCCCTCCCCCACAAAATACCTACATCTAGACACCCTCAAGCAATGAACTAATAGAAAAAAGATTTCCTCTTGATCTTGAGTATTGAATGATAAAAATACCCATCATTACATATTTTCTCATGCCCTGCAGTGGTTTGGGTATTGATAGCACCCATGACATCTATCTCTTCACCACATCTCCCTTATGGTGAATTCGAATTCATATCATTGACCTGTCAAAAACAAAATAACGCACAGCACATAACAGCTTACCACAGATGGTTTCTGTATATGAGCACAATAAGGTGAGCTGGAGATTCTCCTGATAAGAAATGCAATACTTAGTAGTGCATCAGGTTGGACAAACTAATGGTGAACTGGAGATTCTTTGATAAAAGATGCCACTCTTAGGATGCCAGAGTATGTATGCATCAGGTTGAACAAACTAATGGTGAACTGGAGATTATCCTGATAAGAGGTGCAATACTTAGGATGCCAGAGTATGTATGTATCAGGGTAGACAAAATAATGGACTACACAGGTAGATGTAATCTAGGTAGAGATGATGAGGATAATTATAAAAGTGAACTAAAACATGATAGTATCAAGGTAACTCTGACATGGAACTCCTATCAAAGGAGGATTGACATAGAAATATATTCACTAAAAAATACTAATGAAAGATAAAAATGCTTTACAATAAAAATGAGCTTGTTATTATGCAGATGTATCCTCCTGTAGAGAATACAACATGGAAAATCTTAAACCAAAGACAACCAAAATTAGACCAACATTCATTATTTTCATGTCATAATAAGTTATGGGTATACAATTATAAAATTAGCATATCAATACCAAAATGTGGCTTAGCAAATGGAATCCTTCAATGTTCAACAGAAGAATGAGAAATTTTCTGGGAATATATTCCGAGGATGCAAAAAAGCACATAGAAATGACATCTGTACCTATATGTTCACTGCAGCACTGTTCACAATAGCCAAAATCTGGAAACAACCCAAGTGCCCTAGAACAGATAACTGGTTAAAGAAACTTTGGTGCATCTACATAATGGAATACTATGCAGCTGTTAGGAGAGATGGAGAGGGACAGACATAGAAGGACTGCACTCATTTGTGGAGTACAGAATAACATAACATGAAACTGACACCCAAGGACAGTAGATACAAGGGCCAGGAGGATTGCCCCATAGCTGGAAGCCTGCCTCATGAGTGGAGGGAGAAGGCAAATGGAATAGAGAAGGGATCACTAAGAAAATGATGGCTGGAGGAATCAGTCGGGATGGGAGATGTGTACCCAAAGTAGATAATGGACCAAACATGATGACCTCTCAGTGTCTGTATTGCAAATCATAATGCCCAAAAGTAGAGAGAGTATGGGGAGTATTGTCTGCCATGGAGGCAGGGGGAGGGTGGGGAAGGAGGGTATACTGGGGAGATCGGTGGTGGAGAATGTGCACTGGTGGAGGGATGGGTGTTTGATCATTGTGTGATTGTAACCTAAACATGAAAGCTTGTAACTTTCTCATGGTAATTCAATAAAATTTAAAAAATAAATAAATAAATAAATAAGAATGAGAAGTTTGTTTCTTCTGGGACAATGAACTATAGATAATTCAAGAGAGCACACCAACCAAGAACATATAAACCCCCATGGGATACATTCTCCAGAAAACACATTTCTGTATAAAGAGCATAGTGACTCCAACACACATGCAGCCAAAGTGAGTGAGGACTTACCAGAGAAAAGACTAGGAGATAAATATCGTAAATATAAAATAGGGAAAATCTAAAGATAAAATGGGAAAATATTTTTCTGCCTACAGCAGCTAAACAACACTGGTTTAATTTCCCTTCCAGCACTGAAAATCTTCTATTTGGTGAAAAGTGTTCAATAAACACTTTCAGGGATTGATGTCAACATGGAGGTAAAAAACACAGTGACAAGTACAATCAAATGTGTTTCAGGTAGATGGTGTTATTTCAATAGATGATTCTGATCATTGAGCAATGTCATTGGAAGCTGACTCTCTGGCACAACAAAATACAATGGGGACAGAATCACCCAGTTGATCAAATCAGGAGAGAGAACAAGAAACAGCATAGAAAGGACTAAGACATAATGTATGAATTTGAAGAATGAGAGGTGTTAAAATTTAAAAACTTCCATTAAGTGATTAATCATTAAGTAGGGTCATCAACAAGCCTTATATACTGTTTCCTCACGGATATCACAGTACACACTGATCCTATAAATAGACTGATTAAATTTGAACATTGTTGAACTAACCAAATGTTAAGTATTTTCTAATGAATATAATCACTTTTTTAGATCCTTGGTGTATGATGTTGAAGTATCCAGAAAGAAATAATTTGACAAGGAAGCCTACCATTGTAATAAGAGGATGTTACCAGTTGGGGAACCAAAGGAAGTTTACAATTTAGTGAAAAAGTGGGAGACCCTGGACGACCTCATGTCTTGCCAGACCCTAGGTTAGTCATTCTAGGGAGCTGTGCATGTAAAAGAGAGCCTCAGGACTCACCTGAGACCAGGAACACAAGAACAAAGCAGGCAAACACCTTCACAAAGAACCCAAGTGGTCAGAGAGGCCAAGCATTAGTCCTCCAGTAAGTCCAGTTTGTTTAGGGGCAGACACCTCCATGGAGGTGCTTTGAAAGGTTTGTAGAAGGGATGGACTAACAGAGAATCAAACTACCCACATTCTGTTTAAACTAGAGAGATGCACCCATTGTGGTTTTTGTTTGTCATTGTCCTTGCTAGATTGTGACACCCTTGACCTAACCTTTTATGATCAGCATAGCTCCTTCAGAAGCAATGCCTGGGTTTCTCATCATTGACCCATGCAAGGAGAGCTGCATATGGAACACACTGCACAGAAGAGCTTACCAGAGAAGAATGCAGACTGGAGGCTAAGTAGATGGATTGGATTGGAGAGGTGCTGACTAACAAGCCCAGCAGCAGTGGAAGAAGGATGAACATTTGTTGAGGTGCCAGGGGCCACAGCAGGCAGAGTGCCTAGGCAAAAGGATAGGAACACATGTCACTAGAAATATTGCGTGGCCCTTCCCCATTACACCACCTTCCAGGAGCACTCCCTCAGCCAGTGGGGAGACATGGGGAGGGGTAACACGTGCCTCCACCCAAAGAGGGCATCAGTGCAAGGGAATCTTCTGCATAATCAAGAGTAAGAAACAGCACATCCTCCACCCACCTAGAATAGACATCCCAGCAGGATTACACTGTCATGGAAGTCATAAACATAGCATATGTGAAACAGGCGATATCTGAAAGGACCCAGGCAAAAGAAATGTCCTGGCAGAAACAATCACAGATGGTGACCTGAGCTGATAGAACTGAGGGAAGAAGCAAGGGAGCTCTCCAACCATGTCCTTATGCAGAACCAGGAGCTCCTACACAAAATATTCATTTTCCAGGAATCTTTTACTACACTGCTCTGCACACGCCACTCAGACCAACTGACATCAAAACAGTTCCGGGAACTGCATGGTAAAGCAGGTTCCATGTGAGTGGAGAGACCTGGAGAGCATCTGGTCAGAAGACAGTCCCTTAGTATGGACACAAGCAGCTCAGAGTAGCAAATGAGTGGGCACCAAGGAATGTAATCACTGCCACTGCCCTCCTGTTGTTCATCGATTTTCTTGAGCGGGCCCTATAACGTCTCCATTGTGAGACTTTGTTGTTACTATGTTTGGCATATCGAATACATCATGGGTAGCTTGTCAGGCTTTGCTATGCAGGACAAATCCTCTTGGTAGCTTGCTGGGCTCTCCAAGAGGGGTGGAGGAATCGAACTCGGATCGGCCATGTTGGCTGTGTGCAAGGCAAATGCCCTACCTTCTATGCTATCGCTCCAGCCCAGGAATGTCATACAGGTTTGTATTAGAAGCCAGAGATCACAGAATCTCTATGAAAAGTGCAGGGTGTACCCAATTCTAACAGGCTTATGTGATGATTAGAGATAAAGCTAAGTGATCAATAGGTCCCATGCAACTGCATCATTGAACAGGTCTGTGGAGACACAGCTCTGTACACCTCCCTCACTGCATGCAGAACAGGCTACCCACTTCAAGGAGCCAAATCATTTGAGCACTGTATTCAACACAGGGAAGATACCATACCCACACCGCAAAACAAGTAGGTGTGATGGACTGATGAATGCAGGCACGTTGAACAGAGATACCCAACCTGAGTGTGAAGAAAGACCCTCTGGTGTGACCAGAATCATGTACCCAAAGATAATCAAGGCTCATGACAATGTGGAAGACTTTGGGATGGTCTCACATCTTGACTGGCTCCAGGGCCAGTCATCTCTGGGGTCTGTGCATGGTCCCAGAGACTCATCTAAGACCATGATCACTGCAAACCCAGCATAGGACTTCACACTGCAAGACACTAAAAGAAACCAAAGTGGTCAGAAGTGGCCAAGCACAGGGGTTTTGCAGTAAGTCCAGGCTTGGTCATGAGTCAGAAACCCTGAGCATGTCTGGCAGCAGGGACATGCCTCAAAAGCCTTGCCAAAAGAATGGACTGACAGAAGATGAATGCCCCACATACTGGGTCCAACCAGACACGTTCAGTCACTGTGGCATTTGATTCCCATCATCCTTGCTGACTTGGGCCTCAGTTTGACACCCTTGAATTAACCTATAAGAACAGGATAATTCCTTCAGAAGCAATGCCTGGGCTTCTCATCATTGACCCATGCAAGGTGAACTGCATATGGAACTCAGTGTTTGGATAAGACTTGAAGCATACAGAGGTAGACTGGAGAGAGCCTGTTATTCCAACGCCAGAGGATGCATCTATTCAGGTGTGGGAGGCTGCTGGATGCAACTTTTAGGGTGGTGGTGGGTCTCTATTGGACAATGCGTAGGCAGAGGGTAAGAAGGGATGTCCAAAGGAAATAGTGTGTCTCTTCTCTATGGTCTCCACCCTTCTTTCTGGCACTTTGGGTCAGCCAGCGTGAAACTCTATAGAGGGATCACAATGCCTCCACCCAAAGCAGCAGCTCACTAAAAGGAAACCTGCATCATCGAAAACATGGTATGGCATGTCATTGGCTTATCCAGTTGGGCACATTATTCTTGGTGACCCTGCCATTAACAGTTACGGACTTAACAAACAAGCAGGTGACTATTGATATCATCATGTGCCCTGAGTAATGGAGCCCCCAGTGTCCTGGCAGGAGCAATTGCAGGCTGCAGAGAGAGCCAGAATCAACCTTGAGACAGGCAATAGAGTTCTCCCTCCATGACCTGGGGAATAGTCAGGGAACTGATAATACTCAAATACTCAAAAACTGAGAATATCCAAAAATATTCATTTCCAGGAATTAGTCAGGACTAATAGCAGTAAAGCATGCTATCCACACATCACTCACCCGGGGTACTGAACATCATCCACTGATAACCAGTTCTCTTAACATGTGGGTGATTTTGATGTCCAGTGGACAACCTTCTTAAGTAGGGGACCACTATAGACTGATCCAGCCAAAGACTGAATTGACATCATGGACTTCACTAATAACATCAACGCTGATATCATAGATAGTATCAGGGACTCCATGGCAAGGCCAAGTTAAATCCAGGGAGAACAGAACAGAACATTTGCCCAGAAACCCAGCTATGCAGGGGTGACACAATAGCCAGAGTATCTGTGCATGAGGACCAAGAAGAATCATATGAGCTTGAATTTGGGCCAAGGTTACAAAGTTCTTACGTGGGAAAGAGTGAAATTGCCCAATTCCAACAGTCTACTTTGGTGACTAAAGAATAAGCAAACCATTCAACATGTCCTGTGACATTCATTTGTGGAAAGTTCTATGGAAATAAATCTCTGTCCACCTCCCTCACAGTATGTGAGAGATAACACAGGATGCAGAAAGCTGAATCACCTGAACACTGTTCAACTGCACAATCACCCACTGGCCTACCTGACTGGACTGAGCCCATGCATTGAAACACATACTACAGGATTGAAGGACCCAGGCCTCCTTAGAGAACCAAATGACATACCACAGAGCAATAGCCTCCTTTGGGACAGAATCCTACACCTAGAGATAATGGAGGCCCTGCAAATGTGGGAGACATGAGCAGACCTCACATCTTGGCTGTCTCATGGCCAGCCATCTCTGGGATCTATGCACATGAGGAGAGCACAAGCAACTCACCTGACACCAGGAATGCAGGAACAAAGCAAGTGTAGACCTTGAACTGAAAGACACAAAAAAACCCCTAAGTGCTCAGAACACCAAGCATGAGTCTTCTACTATAAGGATAGTTTGCTCCGGAGCAGATACCCTGCACAGGTCTGGCAGAATGGACGTGCTCTGAAAGGCTCTGAAGGGTTGAACTGACAGAAGATCAGTTCCCCACATTCTGTTTAAACCAGACATGTGCACCAAAACAAAACAAAACAAAACAAAATGGTGTTGTTTGCCATTGTCTTTGCCAGATTGGGCCTCAGTGTGACACCCTTGAGCTAACCCTTTGTGATCAGCATAGCTCCTTCAGAAGCAATGCCTGGGTTTCTCATCATTGACCCATGCAAGGACAGCTGCACATGGAACACACAGCATGAAACTGCTTACCGGAGAAGAATGCAGCTCTAGAGCCTAAGCAGGTAGAGTGGAGATAGGCTGGATTTCATGCCCGGGCAGCCGATGACAGGAAGAGGAATCTGCTGGGGTTCCAGGGGACCACGGCAGGTAGTTAGTGCCTAGGCAGACAGGATGAGGACATCTGTCACCGTAAATATTGTGTGCCCTTTCTCATGTCCACCACTCTGCCTAGAGCACTCCCTCAGCTGTGGAAAGACACTAAGGAGGATACCATGGGCCTTGACCCAAAATGGGATCAGTGCAAGGGACCTTCTGTACCATTAAGAGCACAACTTGACACATTCTTGTCCTAACATACTTGGACAATCCAACTGGGTATGCCATGAATAACAGACACTGCCCTGATTTGCTTACAAAACAGCATGTTCCAGTGTGACCAGATCATGCACCCTAAGGTAATCAAAGCTCTACCCATGTGGGACACATTGGAATGGCTTCATGTCTTGGCTGGCTCCAAAGTCAATCACCTTTGAGGTCTGTACATGTGAGAAGAGCGTAGAAGCAGGAAGTCAGGGTAAACCCAGCATAGACCTTCACAGTGCAAGACATAATAAGGAGCCAAAGTGGTCAGAAGTGGCCGAGCATGTGTCTTTCAATAAGACCAAGCTCACTCAAGAGGCAGACACCCTGAACATGTCTGGCAGCATGGCCTTCCCTCGAATGGCTTTCAATGGGATGGACTGACAGAAGATTAATTCCAAATGTCAGACAAACACGTTCACTTCTTGTGTTCTTTTAAATTTTGCATCCACCTCATCAATTGGGCCTCAGTGTGGCACCCTAGACTTAACCCATAAGAATCAGCATAGCTCTTTTAGAAGTGATGGCTGGCAAGGTCAGCTATATATGGAACTCACTGCATGGAAGAGCTTCCACAGATGGATAGGTCCCACAGCCTATGGGGGTGGAATGGAGCGAGCCAGAGGATGCATCTGTTGGGGTTGCAGGGGCTGCATCATGAGACAGGCACAGTCAAACAGGGTAAGGACAGATGTCCCAAGGAAAGTGTGGTTTCCTTCCATGTGGGCCCCCTCAGCCTGGAGAACTCAGGTAGCCATTGGCAGAAACTAAGTAGGAATCACCACGCTTCCACCCACAGAGAGGCTCACCACAAGAGAAACTTCTGCACCCATCTGGAGCACCACATGACATTTCATCAGCTGATCTTGCATAGACATATCAGCAGCGAACATTATGCTTGATGGTCCTGCCATAGTAGTTCATGGACTTAGTATTCAACCATGTGACTGGTGGTATCACCAAAGATACCGGTGGTATCACCGGTAATGGAGCCCACCAGGGTTCTGGCATGAAGAACTGCTGATTGTGATTAGAGCCAGAGTGAACTCTGGGACTAGGAAAGACAATGTCTCCCACCAAGATATAGGTGGTGACTGAAGGACCCTACATCAAAATATACATTTTTGGGACCTGAGTCAGCCTGTCATGAACAGTTCTCCACACTTCATTCAGATGAGTTCCAGGGCAATGAGCATCATCCAGTACCAACCAACTAACATACAACGTGGATAATTTTGCATTTCATTGACAATTGCCTAAAGTAGGGGACCACTGCTTATTGTCCAGCCAAAGAGAAAGTGATGACTATCATAGATTTGATAAACACCACTAACACTAACATCAAAGACGGTACAGGGGACTCTTTCAAGGTCAAGTTCCACTCCGAAGAGAGAACTAAATGCTGTTGTCCTGAAACCTAGTCATACTAAGGAGACACAAACAGCACAAGGGGCTGTCAGTGGAAATGAAGGAAATCACACAAGTTTGAATTTGGACCTGGGAGCACCTCTATTATGTGGAAAGAACAAGTCGTGCCCAAAGCTAATAGACTTATTTGGTGACTAGAGAATAGGTGAAGTATTAAACAGATCCTGTGACACTACATATTCTGGAAAAGTCCAAGGGAAAAAAATCTGTCTACTTTCCTCACTGCATGTGAGAGAGAATACTCACTTTGAGAAGCTGAATCATCTGAACACAGTTCAAGTGCACAGCCAACTCCTTGCATGCAGAGTCAGGAGTGAGACATACATTGAGACATATAGGACAGGCTTGAAGGACCCAGGCCTCCTCTAGAGAACTAACTGGCATACCACCAACCAACAGCTTCCTGTGGGACAGAATCACACACCCACAGATAATCGAGGCCCTACAAATGTGGGAGATATAAGTTGACCTCACGTATTGGCTGTCTTGTGGGGCAGTCATCTCTGAGTTCTACACATATGAGGAGAGCACAAGCAACTCACCTGAGATCAGCAATGCAGAAACTAAGCAAGAGTAGACCTTCGGAGTGCAAGAAAAAAAAGGAACCCAAGTGGTCAGAGTGCCAAAGAGGTCTTCACCTGTAAAGACAGTCTGCTCAGTGGCAGAACCCTGAGCATATCTGGCAGCATGGAGGTGCTTTGAAAGGCCTGTAAAAGTGTAAAGCTGACAGATTATCAATACAGCCACATTCTGATTAAACCAGACAAATGCACCCATTGTAGTATTGACTGCCATAATCCTTGCCAGATTGGGCCTCAGTGTGACACCCTTGAGCTAACCCTTTATGATCAGCATAGCTCCTTCAGAAGCAATGCCTGGGTTTCTCATCATTGACCCATACAAGGACAGCTGCATATTCAACACATTACATGGAAGAGCTTACCAGAGAAGGATGCTGCCAATAGGCCAAGCAGGTGGACTGGATTGGAGAGGGGCTGGCTGACATGACTGGCAGCAATGAGAGGAGGATGCATTTGTTGGGGTGCCAGGAACCAAAGCAGGCAGAGAATGCCTAGGCAGAAAGGATGAGAACAAGTGTCACCAGAATATTTTGTGGCCCTACCCCATATCCCCACCTTTTTGGAGTACTCCCTCAGTCAGTGGGGAGTCATGGGGAGGGGTAACACATGTCTACACCCAAAGAGGGCATAAGTGCAAGGGAATCTTCTGCATAATCAAGAGTAAGAAACAGCACATCCTCCACCAACCTAGTATAGACAACCCAGCAGGATACACTGCATGATTACACTGTCATGGTATTCATAAACATAGCATATGTGAAACAGGTGATACCAAAATGGACTCAGGCAAAAGGAGTGTCCTGGCAGAAACAACCACAGATGATGACCTGAGCTGAGAGAACTGAGGAATGAGGCAAGAGCATTCTCCAACCATGTCCTCATGAGGAACTAAGGACTCCTACACAAAATACTTAATTTCCAGGAGCTGACTTGGGCTTTTCCTGAACTGTTCTGCATACATCACTCAGACCAACTCTGACATCAAAACAGTTCTGGGAACTGCATGATAAGGCAGGTTTCAAGTGGGTACATTGACCTGAAGAGCAACATGCCAGAACACAAAGTTCCACAGCAATGAAACAAGCAGCCCAGAACAGCAAATGAGTGGGCACTAAAGATTGTTATATAGGTTTGTATTAGGAGTCAGAAATCACAGAATCTCCGTGGCAAGTGTGGTATGTACCTACATCTAATATGCTTGAGTGCTGATGAGAGTCTAAGCTCAGTGATCAACGGGCCCCATGCAACTGCATTATTAATAGGTCCTTAGAAGGCACAGTTTTGTCCACCTCTCTCTCCATACAGGAAAACGACCCACCGCAGGGAGCCAAATCATCTGAGCATTGTATTCAAAACAGGACCATCTTCATGCCCATTCTGCAAAAGAAGTAGGTGTTATGGACTGGAAGGATACTTGGACAGGTGTTTTGGACAAAGAGGACCCATATTGCCTGCAAAACAAGACCATCAATTGCGACCAGAATCATGTGGCCAAAAATAATCACGCCTCTGCCAGTGTGGGAGACATTGGGATGGCCTCACACCTTGACTGGCTCCAGGGCCAGTCTTCTCTGGGGTCTGTGCATGATCCTAGACACTCACCTGAGGCCATTGACTCAGGGCAAACCCAGCATGGAGCTTCACACTGCAAGAAATACAAAAAGGAATCCAAATGGTCAGAAGTGACCAAGCACAGCAGTTCTGCAATAATCCTGGGCTCATTCATGAGGCAGAAATCCTGAGTATATCTGCTAGCAAGGATGTGCCTTGAAGCCTTGCCAAAAGGATGAAATGACAGAATATCAATCCCCCACATGCTGGGTCCAGCCACACACGATCACCTGTTGTGGCTTTATTTTTTACCGTATCCTTCCAGATTGGGCCTCAGTGTGACACCCTTGAGCTAACCTTTTATGATCAGCATAGCTCCTTCAGAAGTAATACCTGGGTTTCTTATCACTGACCCATGCAAGGACAGTTGCATATAGAACACACTGCATGGAAGAGCTTACCAGAGAAGGATGCAGCCCAGAGCCTAAACAGGTGGACTGGATTGGAGAGGGGCTGGCTAACATGCCTGGCGGCAATGAGAGGAGTATGCATTTGTTAGGGTGCCAGTGGCCACAGCAGGCATAGAGTGCCTAGTCAGAAAGGATAAGAACACATGTCACTAGAAATATTGCGTGGCCTTTTCCCATACCCCCACCTTCCTGGAGCACTCATTCAGTGGAGAAACATGAGGAAGGATAACATGTGCCTCAGTACAAAGTGGGCATGCAATCTTCTGCATCATCAAGAGCACATCACAATGTTCCACCCACCCAGTATAGACATCCAAGCGCACACTGCATGAAGACTGTCATGAAAGTAAAGACTGTCATGAAAGATGTAGCATATCTGAAACAAGTGATATCACTCTGGACCCAGGCAAAAGTAGTCCACCAGTGTCCTGGCAGAAAAAACCACAGGTGGCGACCTGAGCTGAGATAACTGAGTGGTGAGGCAGGAGAACCCTCCAACCCATGTCCTCATGAGGAACCAGGGGCTCCTACACAAAATACTCATTTTCCAGGAACTGGCTCAGGCTTTTCCTGAACTGTTCTGCACACATCACTCAGACCAACTCTAACATCAAAGCAGTTTCAGGAACTGCATGGTAAGGTAGGTTCCAAGTGGGTACATTGACCTGGAGAGCAACATGCAAGAATACAAAGTCCTGCAATGTGGCCCAGAGCATCATGTGAGTGGGCACCACAGATTGTCATGACGGTTTATATTAGAAGTCAGAGATCACAGAATCTCTGTGGAAAGTGTGCCCAAACATAACATGCTTGAGTGGTGACAAGAGCCTAAGCTCAGTGATCCACAGGTCCCCAGGAGACACAGCTCTGCTTACTCCCTCAGTATGTGCAGGACAACTACCTTGTGCCAGGGAGTGAATCATCTAAGCACTGTATTTGACACAGGGCAGTCTTCATGCTCATATTGCAAAACAAGTAGGTGTGATGGGCTGGATGGATAGCAGGCGCTTTGGACAGGAAGGACTCACCTTGCCTGCAAAAACAAGACAATTGTGACCAGAATCATGTGGCCAAAGATAATCACGTCTCTGCCAATGTGGGAGACATTGGGATGGCCTCACATCTTAACTGGCTCCAGGGCCAGTCTTCTCTAGGATTCCCGACACTCACCTGAGACCACTGACTCAGGGCACACCCAGCATAGACCTTCACACTGCAAGAAACACAAAAAGGAATCCAAGTGGTCAGAAGTGGCTAAGCACAGCAGTTCTGCAATAATCCCAGGCTCATTCATGAGGCAGAAATCCTGAGCATGTCCGGCAGCAAGGACGCGCCTTGAAGCCTTGCCAAAAGGATGAACTGAGAGAAGTCAATCCTCCACATGTTGGATCCAACCATATATTGTCGTCATTGTGGCTTTATTTTAAAACACCATCATCCTCGCTGAATTGGGCCTCAGTGTGACACCCTTGAGCTAACCCTTTATGATCAGCATGGCTCCTTCAGAAGCACTGCCTGGGTTTCTCATCATTGACCCATGCAAGGACAGCTGCATATGGAACACACCGCACAGAAAATCTTACCACTGATGACTATGTCCAAAGCACTTGTGGACTGGAGAGAGCCAAGACTAAAATAGCAGATGATGCATCTGATAGGTTGTGGGGGCAGGCAGGGCCACTGGATGCATCTGTTAGGGTTATCGGGGGCTGCTCCAAGTGGATAGTGCCTAGACAGACAAGGAGAGAATAGATGTCCCAAGGAAATAGTGTGTTTCTTCCCCTAGCCTCCACCTACTTTCTGGCATCTTGAATCAGCCAACGTGAGGCACTATGGAAGGATCACAATGCCTCCACCCAGAGCAGCAACTCATTACAAGAAAAACTTCTGCACCCATGAGACCACCACATGACATGTTACTGGCTACCCAGTTGGGCATATCACACAAGATGACCCTACCATGAGCAGTCCTGAACTAGATAGCAAGTATGTGACTAGTGATAGATATCACAAACTGCTTATAGTTCAGAGTCAGCTTTGCAATAGGCAATACAGCCACCTGGGGAGTGATCAGGGAATTGAGAAGCAAAAATACTCATTTCCACGAATCAGTCAGGTCTTTCCTGCATGCTCACCACACTTCAGGTAAATCACCATGTGCACTGAGCGTCATCCACTGATAACCAGTTCCCTTAATATGTGGGTGATTTTGGTATCTATTGGACAATCTGCTTAAGTAGGGGACCACTGTAGAATGATCCAATCAGAGACTGAGCTGACATCATAGAGTTCATCAACCACACCAATACTGATATCACAGAGAGTAGCAGGGACTTCACAATAAGGTCGTGTTAAATTTGGGGAGAACAGAACAGAACAGTTGTCCAGTAACCCAGTTATGCTAGGGTGACATGAAAGCTAGAGTAGCTTAGAATGGAGAACAAGAAGAATCATATGGGCTTGAATTTGGACTAAGTTTACAAGTTCTTCCATGGAGAGAGTGAGATGTGCCAAAATCAAATAATCTTATTTGTGACTAGAGAATAAGCAAACTTTTTAATGTATCCGGAGACATTTATTTTTTGGAAAGTTCTATGAAAATAAATCTCTGTCCACCTCCCTTACTGCATGTGAGAGAGAACACAGCTGCAGGGAGCTGAATCATCTGAACACGATTCAACTGTAGGCCATCTCCTTCCTCCAGAAACAGGGTGAGCCTATGCATTGCCACATATAGTACAGGCTTGAATTATCCAGACCACCTTTGAGAGCCAACTGACATACACCAGGCATCAGTCTCCTGTGGAACAGAATCATGCACCCAAAGATAACCAAGGCTCCTAAAATGTGGAAGACATGAGCTGATGAAATGTCACTGGCTGTCTCATAAGCCAGTCATTTCTGGGGTCTTTGTATGTGAGGAGAGCCACAGTAACTCACCTGAGTTCAGGAATGCAGGAACAAAGCAAGTGTAGACCTTTG